TATGATGGTGTGGAATAGATACAACTACAAGGGAGGGGAAAATGTCACTGGTGACCAGGCCGGGGGTCTGGGAGAACAGGTGACTAGATGAGGAGGTTGAGGGGGATGATGGAATGTTCTGTATTCTGATTGTCATAGTACTTGCACAACTCTGTACACTTGTAAGGCTCATAAAACCGTGCACCAGTAAGAGACTGTATTCATTGTATGTAAATATAAAAATAAAGTGGATAGGTAGCAGGGTAATATAAAGGTAAAAACAAATCAAGGGAAACAAAATAAACATATTAGATGTCTCCTGGGTTTTGCTACAAAATGTTCATATTCCTTCATGCCCCTCTGTGTGTCAGCAGGCTGACCCTTTTAGGCAACTTAACACACTACACCCCCTTTCCAATAGTCTTTTGGTGGCACAGCCACATGGGACTCCCACGATGAGATAAGAGGAGGGAGGAAGATAATGTTAGGGCATCGATTCTCCTGGCTCCTTCCCTGTGGGATTGCCTCAGGCTGGCTATGATCTTCCACAAATCACGAACATTCTTCTGCTCATCCTAACAGCATGAATCTCCCTTTACTTCACGGCATTTACTTCTTCCTGTGATCCTTTTTGATCTAGCCATGGTAACAATCCCCACTGATACTAGCTCCAGGGGATTACCTTACAAAGGTAAGAGGTTTCCTTACCTCTGTCCATACTTTTGTAAGCATTATTCTATTAAAACTTTCCAGATCATCCAATTTAAATTTGCAATCCGTCCCATGCAGAGATCCTAACTAAAAATATAGTGAATGGAGATTCATGAGAATAAATGTTCTGGGGACAGTGAGCAGGCCAGCTTCGGTGGATTAAGAAGATAAAATTTGAATAACTGAGAAATAAGGTAAAAGGCATAGAGCAAGGCTATAATCAGCAAGGTCACTATCTAAAACTAGGTTACTCTTAATTATGTGGGGAAAAATGAAACCATCGGAAACTTCTGAACAGCACATTCATATTATTACCGTAATACTTAGTAAAGATTGGCTATACGCAAGATGGACTGGGGTCGAAAACATGGAGTTTGGACGAACAATTGAAAGAATGATATATGACATGGAAGGCAAAGGGAGCTACACGATCATTATGCAGTGGAAATGACAAGCATAGACAATTAGATCTTGGAAAGTAAGTGGCTACAGACAGAACAAGAAAGAAGAAGAGGAACCACAAATGACTTTGCAGTTCGAAGTCTGGGGGGCTGGAAGAAGGCTGACATTATTGAAGGGTGACATTTCTTGGGAGTACAGGCTGATTTGCAAAGGAAGATGATGCTTGAAAGGTAAGGAACTCACCTCCTACCTCCATGTCAGGAATTTGCTCTCGTTGGTGGATTTGATTTCAACTTTGAATTTTTTTTTCTCCCTATGTTAAAGGAAACTCTCAAGTTATTAATCCCCATTGCGAACCAGCAGATGGCTCAGTGTGAAAAATTTATGTAATCTGAGTCCAGGGACCACTGGAAAGAGAGGCTCCAATCCCAGGAACAAGATAACACAATAATTTCTGTGTCTCGGCTCAACAGGTCAGACTGATTGATGGTTGGACTCAGGCAAAAGTTACTTGTGTTGAATTGGGAAAATGGAAAAACTGTCCAAGCTGAAAGAAAGGCTGAGAATAGAGCACATCGAGGAGAGGCTGTACCACTCACAGGGGTAAAGGTGAGGGGAATCATTATTCCAGATTATTTATTTATTTAGTAGTTTACCAGGCTGACTAAGGCTAATCACTGCAGTGAAGTTACTTAGCCTGGGAGGGAGGTGGTATTTGGATTCAAAGACCACAGAAGTACACGGTATCGCTCCTGTTCAAGTCCTTGCTCTGACTATACACGATCTATGTTTGGTGCAGGGTGGGGGGACCCAGCCATGCTGATCACACTACTGTATCTGACATCTGAGGAACACAGTTTATTATTTTAAAAAATTTTTTAATGTTTTTTATTTATTTCTGAGAGAGAGACAGCGTAAGAAGGGGAGGGGCAGAGAGAGAGGGAGACACAGAGTCCAAAACAGGCTCCAGGCTCTGAGCTAGCTGTCAGCACAGAGCCCGACACAGGGCTCGAACCCACAGACTGCAAGATCATGACCTGAGCCGAAGTCGGCCCCCCAACCAACTGAGCCACCCAGGCACCCCCATGAGGAACACAATTTAATAGGAAGCTTAGGTTCCTCATGCAGTTATTGATACTCTTGCTGCAGATGTGAGTGTAGCTTGAAAACTGGGGAAGAGAGGTGGTGGTGGTGGGGAGATGATGAACTCAAGTAAGTGAAAGGCAGCTGCAGAGGGAATACACCCCAGATGAAGAGTTATGAAGAGCCCAGTGCTTTTTTTTCTCTTTTGGTCTCATATAGAGTCTAACACAATACTGGATTTACAGAAGATGCTCATTAAATAAATGCTGAATAGAACTGGTACGAACCCACACTAACGGCAGTCTCACATACCAAGTAGTATATCATTGCTTGAAAAAGCCAAAAACTTGTAAGATTCGGGGACCCAACAAAGATGTTTAAGTTTTGAAAAATCCGATCTGCTTCCAGAGACTGGAAGTATAAGTCTCAAATATGTAAGGGTAAATAAATGTCTTTAAATAAGGGATAATAGCTAATATGACAAGACTATATATGTATGTATATATATGCATATATATATATATATATATATATATATATATATATATGGCTTATAGCTCAACAAAAACTGAAAGAATGAGGATGGACAGGCAGACTGAAATTACTACTCTATTTTTTTAAAAATTTTGAAAATTTGAGACGAAGATTTGAGTTAAGAAGGCATTTCAGAGAAGGTTCTTCAAATCAGTGATTTCTCTAACTTGAAACTGAAACAAGTATAATGCAGATTTGTTTGGACATACTTAACTGATAAATTTCTTTCATCTCAAAAGATTAAGAATAGATATTAAAGAGGCATTTCAATAACCGATTTAAATCCCATCACTTCCAAATGAGTAAGGGCACTGTAACAAAAAGCACTTGTAAAGGTCATCTTACAAAGTGCACTGCAGAATTATTTCCTCCTTGGATAAGCTTCCCCAACAGTGTTTCCCAGTGGTCAGAACTTCACGATTCAATGTTGACAGTAAAATCTTGAGTTTACGTTTTTATCATTGAATCAGAAGGTCATAAGAATCACTAACAGACACTGTAAAAAAAAGCCTATCCAAAAAGCCTACCTGCATTTCCAGAATCACTTGATAGTTTATTAGAAAGTACTTTTATCTGTGATGCTGGATTTTTCAGTTGTAAAAGATATCTTTGACTTTAGGTTTTTTTTCATTGTCTCTGTCTAGAAGGATTGAAGTTATAGTACATAGTCAGTTTATTGGGGGTAAGCCCCAGAAAAATTAATAAAAGAATACTCATTAAAATATATTTATTAATTACAAGTAATATGCCATAAATGGATTTATCAGTATTCCTCACAATAGGTGCTATTACTGGAACTTTAATTATGATGGAAAAAATTAATGTGCCCAGAATATATACTGCATACCTTGAGGGCAAAATCACTCTTACTAGTTCTTAATTTTACTGACAGAAATACTGAGGCCTATCTGTGAAATGCCCAAAGTCACAGAACAATACTACTACAAACAATATACTCACCGCAAACTCAAATATGTAACCTCATTTTTCATGAAACACACATCAAGAAATAATTTTTATTTTTATATCATCAGTAATAGCTACATAATGTAGCTACAACTTAGCTACATTAAGGTATTTATAAGAATCACTATAAAATGCAATGGAGTAACACCTCTCAATGTCAATATATTTAAGCAGACAGTAAAGGAAATTTTAAGTGGACAGGTAGACAGGTATTTATTAAGTTCTTGATATGTTTTTAAATTATTAAAATCACCAAAGCTCTAACAAGTCCTTCCCAGCAGAGACAGAATACATCAAGAAACCTAATTGAAGGGCTATTTCATTTAAAAACAAAATGCATTATCTTATTTAAAAGTTTATTAATAAAAATCTCAATGGGTTCTTCTCTTCAGGCTTCGAGAAGAGTAGAAGTTCCCTTGGGAAATTTTCTCAGCTTTCCTCAAGGCTAAAGAACTTGGTTTTATATAGATTAATAACCTTAGAATTTTATCCTCAAAGAAATATTTAATAGCCTGATGAATTATGGTATAGTGCAAGTGACTTCTATGAAATGTTATCTTTTACTTGTTTTCAGCACAGAAAAAAGGGACCTCGTAAAATTGTAGTCTCCCTTCTTCAATGCAGTTTCCATTACTCTCTGAGTTTATCAAGAAGAATAATGATGCTTTGATTAAAAAAGGAACACCAGTGCTTCTGTAGTCAGACCTCACCAAGGCCAAGGCTGCACATTATTCTTTTGCTCTTCCCCCTCCCCCCCCACGCAACTGTGACAGAGAACAATGGTGAAACACATCAGATTTTGACAATTGCGTAAGGGCGGCTGCCTGTCTTCAGTCCCTCATGAAACATTCACAAAACCACTGCCTTGCATATGCTTATCAGTCTTCTGGTTTTCCTCTCTATAAACATGTAGAAATATGCTAAAAGAGGCAAAATCTCTCAGTCTCCAGCCCAGCAGCCCTGAGTCACTATCCCATTGTGAATTAGTGTGATTCTAAGATCTAAACAGAAAGGGCAACACAAGAAATGTATTATATTCTATATCTTTTCAACTTCTCCCTCCTCACTATCACTCTTGGGTTCAGTCTCTCATCACTCCTAACCTGCCTTCTTGCAATGGTCTTCCAGGTGATTTGCTTGCTTCCTAATTCATTCTTCACTCAGGTCAGCACTCTAGTCTCTCACTGCCAGAATTTCTAAGCCTTTTAGGTTGTTGACCCCCTCAACCGCACTCTCATACATCCCTCACAAGGGGAGAATATTCTCTGCCCCCCAATCTGCCTTCAAATCTTTTTAGATTTCAAGCCCTCCTTTACTTTCCCCACCTCCTGTTTTTCTGAGCTTCATGTTGTTTCCCGTCCAAGTTAGGTGAGTGTGATTTGATGAGAGTGCTTCATTATAAAACCTGATAAGTTTCCAGCGAGTTCAAGAGAAGTCATCCTGCAGAAATATTCATGTGAATCAGTTTTTAAACACGGGGATTTCTTATCTTTCTCTTCTTAATCTTTAATGATATTTCTTTCACATTATTCCAATGAGACAATTTCTGGTAGTGTTAAAGGCTAACATCTTATATATTTTTAATCATTTTAAGCACATAAAAGGCAATTTGACTATTCACAATGTACTGTCGGAGTATTTTTGAACACTGGAAACATTTCTGGGCAAAGGGAGTGCACTGTTTCCTGAACTGACATTGATCTTCCTTTTAACATCATAACTAATGTAAAAGTTTGTGAATATTTTCTACATGTTGGGCTCTACATATGACCACAAGGAGTGCAGAATGAGTCACATGGTCCTGTTGTTTAGGATCTAGGTGTGGAAACAGTCCATGTGTGAATGACTGGTGCTGTCCTTTATGGAGGAGACAATGAGGTGGTATAAATCCTACTGATACTATTGGTTCTGACTAAGATAAACGAGGTGTACAAAACTAAATCTGAGCAGAAGCTGGTTTTTCTACTCTCTTCACCATTTTTTTCTTATCAAAGCAAAATTTTGAAAGCCATACACATTCAACAATGTAGAATTTGGTGTTCAAAGCCATTTTGTCCCAGAGAATACACTATGCTAAATGGTATCTGCACATAGCCCTTTATTCCAGCTCTTAGGACCAGATGTACTTCTGAATGCAGAATTATGCATATTTTAGGGAAGTGAAACAGTGCATGCATCTTCCACTAAAAAATACTCCCAGAGGAACCCTGAACAGTATCCTATAATCAAACACATTAATGTGTTAGCAGCAAAAATCATGACTATTCACTTAGGAATAATGAAGTTCATAAATGGCCTCTTATCAAGATAGACAAGGTTTTGCAGCTAAATAAGCAACAGAGACAATTTTAATTTTTTCCGTTTTTGTGGGTTTCAGAATTGTAGATTGAGGCTTTTGGATCTGTGATGTTGAATAAGTAGGCCATAGATTCTGCTCTCAAGGAACCCAACAAGCGTTAATATTTAGCTAGTGCATACTGGTAGACACATACTGGTGTTAAAATATTAAAATATTTTTTCCAGTGATTAAGTGTCCATTGTCCCAAACCACTCAAGGACTCTCCCTTCCAACCCACCCATCTCCTGAATGCCTGGTGCTTCCCCTGCACTTACCATGACCCAAAAACTGAAGGAATAGCTTGGGCTCCATGGCCAGCCTCTGTGTGGTTGGTGGGGGTCTGAACCATACCAACTGTTCAAAAGTTTGAGTATCACTCCTGAAATCACATGATACTACTGAATTTCTTCCAGTAGACCCAGAGAATTTTGACAGAATGAGAAGAGGTTGGGAGAACTAAGGAGTCCTGCTTCCTTTTAGTTGTAACTTTTATAGATCAGAGGGGTTTAGGTATGCAAAAAGCCAGTGAAATCATCTGTAACCCTAAGTTTCTACTGTCCAACAAGGACAGACAGTCCCCAAGAGAGCAAGCGGGGAGGGATGGCCCTGGGAAAGAGTGTCTCCCATGATTTCTCATCGGTGGCTTTCATAATTATATTATCTTTACCTCATGTAGGGAATTCCATATATGCTTGCTGACATTTTTTTTCAACAGATGTGAATTTCCAGCATGGCACTAATGAAAGAGAACATGATGTGATGAAAGACCCATTGTTAAGAACTTCTCCATTATTTTTTAGAAATAGTGCCCCTGAACAAATTCCAACCTCACTGAGTGTTATTTGTATTTTTCATCCTTAAACTGAGTATTAATAGTTCCTTTCTGATGCCAGGATGTTTGTAAAAATATGAGATCATATGCATTGCTAAAATGATATAAGACATTACTACTTGTTTGGTTTGGTTTTTGTTTTTATCAGATTGAAAGGGACTCTTTTAGATTCCTATTGTTTTCACTGAATTTGATCAACCCTGATGGCAATGCTTCAAAACGAGATGCACTGATCTGTCCCTACCCTGCCCAATTGGCCGGAGGTCAGAGGGCTGAGTGGATACTAATTAAAACTTTCATTAAAAAATATTCCCACTTCTTGGGGCGCCTGGGTGGCTCAGTCGGTTAAGCGTCCGACTTTCGCTTAGGTCATGATCTCGCGGTTCGTGGGTTCGAGCCCCGCGTCGGGCTCTGTGCTGACTGCCAGCTCGGAGCCTGGAGCCTGTTTCAGAGTCTGTGTCTCCCTCTCTCTCTGACCCTCCCCTGTTCACGCTGTCTCCCTCTCTCCTAGAAATAAATAAAACATTTAAAAAAATAAATAAATTCTTTGGAGTTGTATTAAGACTCAACAAGAGCAGTCTCTTTGGATCAGTGTCATGTACGTAGAAGGTCTGGATATTCGTCGAATGATTTTTTAGGGGCTTGGTGGTTTTGTAAAGAATTCTGTGAGGGACATTTTAANTAAAAAAAAATATTCCCACTTCTAATTTAGTGTGACAGGCAGTACAACAGAGTTGTCCACAGAATGGGACTATGACTGGAATATGACTGCCTTGGTTTCAATCCCGGCACCAGCACGCACTAGTTTAAGTGAGTTACTTAATCTCTTTTTTCTTTAATCTCCCCATTGGTTAAATGAGGACAATAATTGTTTCTCTCTCATAATATTGTTCTAACACTTAAATGATGTAACGAATGCAAACCACCTAGTACAGTGCCGAGCAGAGAGTGGGCTTTAAGCGCTGCCCATGGCTGGAAGGACCCTGCCTCCAGGAGGCGCGCCGGCCACAGATCCCCGCGGACTTGCGGACCGCCAGCTAGTCTGCAGAGGCTGCTCTGCACTGTGTCTCCAGAGCCACGTGCTCAGAGCAACTGAACTTGTTATCAGGCCTTTCTCATTGTCGTTGCCATTGTCAGACTGGTCTCATTGTCACCGCCGTTGTGGCTGCTGTCCCTCTCCACCCCTCACCATCCTTCCCTCCTTCTCCTCCTCTTCCTTCTTCTAAAATTCACCTGTAATGCGTATCTCTTAGGACTGTAAGAGCCAAGGGCAGGCAGCCCCAGCATGACGATTATTCTGAGCTGAGGGCAATGGAGACCCCACCCACTCAAGAGTAACTCTGGCCGCTCCCTTAACTACACAGAAGGGTGCAAACTGAGGACTTTCCCAGAACAGTTAGCAGAGATACATTTTGTCCGCGTGACCTATCTATATGGTGGGGCAAACATCTAATTACCAAACATTCACTCCTGTTCCTACTGCCCTGTGAAGTACATTCCTTTCCCCTGAAGTCCCAGACTAAAGTCCCTTTTCCTGATTTCACGATGACATGCAGACCTCATTTTGCCTGTCTTTGCAATTTCCACGTCTGTGTGGGTTCCCCATAGACACTCTATTAAATTTAATTTCCTCCTGTTAATCTGTCTCATGTCAATTCGATTCTTAGTCCAGCTGAAAGGATCCTTAGAGGCGACAGGAAGTCTTGCTCCCTGACGGTACAAAAACGTTATGAGTTTTTGCTCTTCCGCCTCTAAACTTCTCATGCCTAAATTATTCCACTGCATCTTGATAATACTTTAATAGTTCATCTCACACACACACAAGGTCTCCATTTTGTTGTCATCACTTCTTCACATTTTGGCTTCTCCTCATTGGGCATTTCTGTTCCTATTCCTTCCTTCACACATCGAGCACTGTGACCATTATAGGTTTTTTTTTTTTTAATTTTTTAATGTTTATTTTTGAGAGAGAGTGAGAAAGAGACAGAGCGTGAGAGGGTGCTCAGAGAGAGAGGGAGGCACAGAATCCCAAGCAGGCTCCAGGCCGTGAGCTGTCAGCACAGAGCCCGATGTGGGGCTCAAACTCATGAATTGTGAGATCATGACCTGAGCTGAAGTCGGATGCTTAACTGACTGAGCCACCCAGGCGCCCCTAACACTGTGACCATTATACAACCCATTATAATCTTTATTGGAACTCTGAAGTACACTACCAAATCAGTGTGTCATCCTTTCCCCCAGTTTCTCCAACCAGTCAGAAGTTTAGCCATGTTTATTAGCCTATCTCACAGCCTGCTGACAGTCTTCAGTTTTCTATTCTAATTTCTAATGCCAATTTCTATTAGCCTATTTCTAAATAAACCATTTCAAATAAATATTGTTAAGGTCACAGTATTTAAATGGCAAACAAGAACCATCTAAGTTAATGGAGTAAAGATTCATTATATTAAAAATGATTTTAAAATTATATTTTTGTATGTTAAAAATATTATGTTTGCAGAACATTCCCTACAAAGGTTTTCCCCATATCTACATTTTAAGCCAAAACCTTAGATAACTAACGGCACTTTAGGATAACATGCAAACTCAGGAGCAAAATTTATTACACTTGCTAACTTGACCTTATATTAGGAGCTTGACCTTGTATTAGGAGCTTGTTTAATGATCTGAACTTTGAGAAAAGAATAACCATGAGGTATGCAAGAAAGAGTAATCCAGTTCTTTTTTCTTCTTTTTCTGATTTCTCCAGTGGCTTCATAAGTCACAATGGTTCCTTTGGATCAGGTTCCCCAGCAAAGAGAGATCAAAATAAAAGTATATGTGCTAACATTTGACTGATTTAGCAATCACAAGACAATGTGTTGATGGAAGCAGAAAGTACAGTAAGTCAGCCAAGAGCCAAGGGATGCCACAGCCTCTAGAAACTGGAAGAAGCAAGGACCTGATTCTCCCTGAAAGCCTCCAGAAGGAACCACCTCTGATAAGTCCTTGCTTTTAGCCCAGTAAAATCAAGTTTATTCCTCTGACCTCCACAAATATAAAAGGACAAATAGGTGTTATTTTAGGCCATTGAGTGTGTAGTAATTTGTTACAGCAGCAATAAGAAACTAATACATACTTTGGTATTAGAAGTTGGGTGCTGTCATAACAAATACCTAAATCATCATAAACAGAATTGTGGTAGAAATATGAAAATTAAGGTGCTACTGGTGAGAATTCGGAGGACATGAGGAACATGTGATTGGCAAAGGGAGGAAACGAGACCCTTGCTACACACTAGCAGAAATCTTAGCTGAATTGTGTCATGCAGTTAGGTATAAAACAGAACATGTAGGTAAGAAACCTGGATATTTATCTGACCAAGGTTTTGAAGACATGGCCTGATTTCTTCATGTTGATTATAGTCAAGTTTTGAAGAATGAATACATTGAGGGTAGAACTCTCAAGCAAAAAAAAAGAATCTGGATTTGATAATTTGCAAAATTCTCAGCCTAACTGATTGCAAATGATGCTAAAATTAGGACACTCACTGTCAGAAAAGAATGGTCTGGGGGTGCCTGGGTGGCTCAGTCGGTTAAGAGTCTGGCTCTTGGTTTGGTTCAGGTCATGATCTCACGGTTCATGAGTTCCAGCCCCACACTGGGCTCTACGCTGATGGTGTGGAGCCTGCTTGGGATTCACTCTCTCTCCCTCTCTCTCTGCCCCTACTGTACTCTTTCTTTCAAAATAAATAAACCTTAAAAAAGTTAAAAAAGAAAAAAAAAAAGAAAGAAAAGAATGCCCTGGAGAGACAGCCAGGGGTGTGCATTTTTTTTTTTTTTTTTTTTTTGCCAGTTCCTGGGAAGAATCAAAAGGTTAAAGTATTCAGTTGCACAAAAAATTATTTGAAAAGATAAGGCATATGAATCATGGATCCTCTCAGCCATATCAGCAGAAGCCAGGAATAGACATGAAATTATCCAGTAAAGACATTTGAATAAACTTTTGTCTAGTGGAGTGAATACCTGTGATATATGTCGGAAATCCACAAGCTTTTTGCAAATATTGTATCAGCAGAAACATCGTCAGCTTAGATTGACAGGGACAGAGAGGGTGAAATTAAAGAAAGCTGTTGGAGTCTACAGATAGGAACTGGGCTGGTTCTCTCTACCCGCCCCCCCCAAACTACAGGACATTTTATCTCTACTTTTCTCAGTACCAATCTCTTTCTATATTGTATTATGATACTTTTTAAATTTATTTTAATTTTTGTAATTTTTATTTTTTTTAACATTTATTCATTTTTGAGAGACAGAGACAGAGCATGAGCAGGTGAGGGGCTGAGAGAGAGAGAGGGAGACACAGAATCTGAAGCAAGCTCCAGGCTCTGAGTTGTCAGCACAGCGCCCGATGCGGGACTCAAACCCATAGACTGTACCCCAAGATCATGACCTGAGCCAAAGTCAGACGCTTAACTGACTGAACCACCCAGGTGCCCCCTTTTTTATATTTTAAGGTAAGTATTGAGAGATATGTATTGAGTACCTATATTGTGCTAGATAGGTCTCACATCTCTTAAAATGACTGAAATTGAGAACTTTCTCTAATTTATTCTTGATTCCACCAAAGGGTCTGAACCAGGGTATTATTCTTATGTAGATAATAGGTAAATATTTACTTTTTAACAGATTAAAAATTAATGAAGTTACTTTAGTGTTGACATGTTCATTGCTCCATGCATTCAATGCCAGAGATAACAGCTAAAAGGACTAAGCTTTTCTCATGAATCATGTCGCTTAATCCTCATGCAAACCTGTGATGTGTATATGGTTATCTCTATTTTACTGTTGAGGAAACTTAATTTTAAAAAGGTTAAATAATTTACTCAAAGCTATACAACTAATAAGGACTCTGCCCCTTG